AGTGTTCTAGGACAACCTTCACTAGCACTTGAAGGAAGTCCGGATAGTGAAATACGCACAACTTTCTTACTGATCAGGATCTAGATCTTGGTTCTCTTGATCTAAAATAGTTAATGAAAGAGTGAGCTACACTAACTTATTAAGAATATTACAGATATGAAAAACTAAAGATTGGTAAAAAAATAAAAAACAACTAATGAAACCTTTACTTTATTTACATACATTTAAAACTTGAAAATATTTTTTTAATACTTATCATAATGAGTTTTTCAAAAACAACCTACAAAAACTCATTTCCATATCATTTTTTACTTTTACGCATAAGAGAACAAGAAACAATAACTTTCCTTTTTTACCTGTTTACTGATATCCCTGGGCTCCATAGGGGTGTCTTCCCTACTCGTGAACCCAATATCCAGTTTTACAATTGACTGACCGTCCCCATACTATGTCCGATAATGAGTGTCAAACATTCCATCGCTTCGATACCTTATCCGGTATGAGGGTGAACCATATCTCCCAAACCTTCCCGGTAAGAAACTTTCCACTGCCGTCTGACTGAGGTAACGTTCACGGTAGATTCCTCATGTACCGGACTCATTCCTCCTTTCATTGGGTAACCAGCAAGTCCTTCACATACAGATTTTCATCAATAAATAACCAACAAACTCATACCAATATCTCATATCAAATTCACATATCAATTAAACTATATTCATACTGACGGTATATAACCAAAATAACCAGATAAGTTGATAAAACTATTGAACTATAAATTAAGAACATGTGTTATACGAAAATCAAGTAAGTAGTACAGTACAGGAAAATAAATAGGAAATCAAGACAATTGTGAACTAACCGGTTCCGACTCCACTAAAAACTTGTAATTATTTTTAAAATTTTCTAAATTTTTATAAAAATACAAAATTATACATCGTTAACCCTCAATTTATCGTAACGGAGAATATGGTGAGAGATCCTTATCCAGATCGGTGTTTGGAGACGTCAAACTATCTACTACGTCTTCTAATAGGTACCGAGTTCCCTGAATTTTTTATGTAGAATTCAAAACACTCGTTACATACCTAAAAATATCCCAAAAAATTAAAAATCAATGTTCAAAATTTATTCCAGCCAATTTTAGAGTTTTGGCATGGCGATGCCGCCGTGCTCCGGAGCCGGCTCTACCACCGACGGTGGTATTTTGCCTCGATTTGGCCTGGTTTGCCCGATTTTGGCTACATCTCTGTAGAAAAACATGTTAGAGAACTCGGTTGGCCAAAAAATAACAAAAAATTGAACTTACCGGGCAGGGGGATCTTCAAGTGCGGCGGCTCCGTCGTACTTCCTTCGCAGCTGAGGTTCTTTTTTCAACTACTTTACACAGAAAAGGACGGTGAACACAATTATCAAAAAATTACGTGAAACGAGAATCGGAAAGGGGCTCATCGGAGGAATTTTAGAGTTTTAGCAGGGGCAGCTCCGTCGGGCTTTGCCCACGGTTTCTGGCTCACTCACTGTTCCTCTTGCACTAATTTGGCCACAGCAGTACTCAGAATCAAATTTCGAACCGGTAAGAAAATTTTTTACATTTTTTGGCAGTCGACCTCCTTCTCCGGCTTCCAATTTTTCTTCTCCGGCAGGGGTTAGCGGCTAGGGTTTAGGTTCACGTGTGATGTGAAGTATTTATAACCATTTCGCGTTGATCTGGATCGTCCATCGCGATCGATTTTGTCTGTTCGATCGCGTTTAAGGAGGAAACAAATCTAAACTGTTCATTACGATTGATCTCAACCATTCGATCACACCTAAGGGAGAAACGAATCTAGCTGTTCACGCGCGCGGGATCGATCTTGGGCCGTCTGATGACGGGGCACGCGGATCGCTAGCATGACCTCCCTTGCGGCATCGACATCAACGCACCTTACCATGCAGGGCGTTTTTATTCATCGAGACTGTTGATTGCGTGGTTCTACGTGACTGAACTTTTTTTATTTACACTTCAACCCCTTATTTTCAATTTTTCTTTTAAAAATACAAAAACTTAAATTTTCACCAATTTTTTTCAAAATTGTTTTCAATCTCATTTTTAATTCATTTTTTATCAAAATTCTACTTAAATAAAAATAAAATAAATTAATCAATTATTTTAAATTAATAATTAAAAAATAAAAAAATTATTTCGTATCATTTTTCGAATATGGGTATTACACATTTTCAGTAAAAAATTGAAAAAAAAAAAACAAATATCCAAATTGTTTCGTGCATCTATCCAAGTTGTTTAATTACAGCAATAAAATATATATATATATATTTCATTCATGTTTTATGTCAGTATCGAATGGGGTATTGATTCCATCCTTAAAAGGGAATTTTTTTTGCTATTTTCCTGTTGAGTTCGGAGAAAATTATAATTCTCAAACTCTAATGAAGTACGAGCAATCCAATAACTTTCTAAGCATGATATTGTTTGAAGGATGTTATAATACTAAGAACTCATTTTAATTTAATCCAACAATTAATGTAGCCAATATCAATCAAATTGTATTAAAAAAACCAATAATCAATTCAGCATCATCAATTATCAGGCTTTTGATTTGGTTCGTGTATATCCAACACCTGCATTCTTGGGTTCAATCTTCTCTTCCACCTTCAATATTCCATAAAGCCTGGTATACATGCAGCTTGAGATACAGATATACCTTAGAAAGGCTAACTTTAGGTGCTGATCTGCAGGAGATAACTCAGAGCACTTGCTCATATCTGTGCAAAATCAACAGTTTATCATATCAGCAAACCCGGAACCCTACTGGCCGAGCTCTGACCAACAATTTACCAATGTATTAGACTAATTTGGGTACTTGCCTGAGGTATCAAATGTGCCAGATAACTAATCAAAATACTTTTTGTATAAAGCTCTAGAAATAACGAGAGCATCTCCTTTGGCCTTCACCGGATAAAGCTTATTTCCGGCTTGCCACTTGTTTGAAAAGGATATCCATTCTCTTCTCCACTCCTCCAACTTGAAGCTTTCATTTTTTGTCAGGCTTTCTGACAGATAAGTGAAATAGGTTGATGCTCGTGGCAGATAGTAGTCTCCTAGTAGGCCACTCCAAAATTTGTTTGCTAATCATGGACAAAGAAAAATTTAGCAGATAGTAGTTTTCTTTTCCTCTGTTATGTTAAAACGAATTCATTTATGCTAAATCAGTTTGCGTTCAGTTCTGTGTATGAATTGGCATCTTGTAAGCCTTCTTTTGTTGGGTGTTACAATTTCTTTTCTTATGCTTTCATTATTGTCTTTGATAAAGAAATTTGCATCACTTTTGTTCATACAAACTGCTTATGATGGTGATGTGATGGCATATATCATTTCCATAGTTCTTTGGTTGTCTAACACCTGTGAACAGGTGTCCCCAGATGAGATGGAAGTTTTTGAAGACATAAACTCTTTCTTACGGGGTGATGGAGAGAAGGAATCTGACACGATCACACCATTTCCTTTGCTCACGGAGAATGCAGTGGAGTCTTTAAGATACAGAGCTGAGGTAATTATTGTGTTTCATTTTTCTAAAGTTTCTTTTGTGTAATTTATAGTGACCTTTCAATAAATTCTATTAGATCCTGAACATGTAACCATAGGATAAAGCACTAAACATTTTATTGAACTTATTTGTACTTAGGAATTTTGTCCTCCAATCTGTCCTCTTTGTCTGAGAATAGAATTTTATTTTTCCTAGTAGAGAGAATGTTATGTTTTATTATTGAATAACCCAACCTTATAGGTACACAACTTTAGGAGCAAGGAAAAAAAAAACCTTAATGATTAACTACATCAGCCTACTCAAGAATATGCCATTTTTACAAATAAAGAAACAAATATATCACACAATATGCACTCTCCAATGCTTCCCCCCAAGGTGGTGAATGGACAATCTTGGTAACGATTGATTGAAGTGTCGGATTGCTTAAGCACTTAATGAGCATTTGCAAGTTGAGAGTAAGTGGGCGAGGGTTGCAGATCAAGCCATTATCTAGCTTTTATTTGATAAAGTATCTGTCAACTTTAATGTGTTTGGTCCTGTTATATTATACTAGATTATGAGCTATATTGATCATTGATTTGTCTCATGAGGACCTCCCACTTAATCTTTGGGTATTTGAAGATAATTTTTAACAGTAACAGCTCGCAGACCCTTTGTGTCATTGCTTGGAGATCTGATTATGCACTTGATCTTGCTACCATATTCTCTTACTTGATTCTCCATGTAATAAGTATTCCTTCAAAGAAAAATGCAAGAATATATGGTAGATTTTCTATCTACTACTGACCCAACATATTCAATATTAGTATGAGCTTTAAGTATCAGTCTGGTTTTCTTTTCAACTCTGATGGTCTTTCCTGAGTTCCATTAAAAAAGTGTAATACTTAATATGCTGCATGTCGGTGTAATTGTGCAAGAACTAACTTTTCAACACTTACCCCATATGGAAGTTCTGGTCTTCTATGTGAAAGATAAATAAGTCTCCGAACCAATATTTGACACATGCCCTTATTAACAGCAATATCTTCCTCTGCCGATCCTAGCTTGTGGTTGGGATTTGTTGGTTAACTGTTTTATTATTGCTCTGATACCATGTGAGAGAATAGAATGTTATGTTTTATTATTGAAATAACTCATTTCTATTTGTATACAAACTTTAGGAGCAAGAAAAAGAAACCCTAGTAAGTAATTAGATTTAGCCTATTCTTGGTGCACATGTATCTAACTTTGGGTCAAATGGCTGACAGATCATTGACTCCTGGAAATTGGATTTTGCAGGATGTTGCGAAGAGTGTGACAAAAATTGCTATTAGGGAATCACGAGCTCAGGATTTGAGAAATGAGATTCTCAACTCTGAAAAGTGAGTAGTTAATGACTTGTACATGTTTTTTTATTTCTCAGCGCCTCTTATTTAGAAATTCATAATCAGTTATGAGGATCAAATTAGTCTTTTTATCTAGTTCAAGGTTATTAATGAGAGCTTCTTTGTCTCGAAAGAAATGAGGGCTTGTAGTAGTGATTGGGGCACTTATTTTAGCTGTCGTTTGGCTTTTCTAGTCTCTCTCAATCTTAACTTGAATTTCTCACACTTGCAGTATAGTTATTTTGTTCTGATGACATTATTTTTTCCAGGTTGAAGGCTCATTTTGAAACTAACCCGAAGGATTTAGGTAATGAAAATTGACGATCGAACATCTCTGAATTCATTATTCTACTTAATTAACTTGTTAATTGTCATGGCAGTTCTTACAAGCTTTTTCTGGATTTCTATTTGAGCAGATCTATTAAAACACGATAAGGTTTTGAGCAAGAAGCCTCCTGCTCCTCACCTGCGTCATGTGCCTGACTACCTTGTTGACCCTAAAACTCAGGAAGCCAGCAAAATTGTTAAGCTTGCCAGAGCTGCAATGGGTCGTAATCGCTCTACTACTCGCCACGCATCAAGGAGAAGATCAAGAAAAAGTAGAGATCCTCTCAAGACATTCTCCGCCGATTTGTTTTTTAACTTAGAAGTTGCAAACCCATGTTGATTTCGTTTAATTGGATGAACTGGTTGTGATGCTAATATCCCTATCTTCTGTCTTGTCATGCCAGGCGCCTAAGAAAGGCCGCAGAAGTGGAACAGGAAAAGGTAAAGAGGCAGGTGATGGTTCGGGACTGTTTTGCCCCGATAATGCATCCTTGGCTAGTCTCTGTTCTTCTTTTCTGGTTAGTTGAGATTATAGGTGTTCATCAGTTTGAAATCCAATTGGAGTCTACTTTTTTTTCTTTTTCTTGCATACTTCAATTTCATGCTATAAATTGGATTGAAGTTTGATTTGGTCTGGATGGAAATTGATATCAGTTTGGATTAGACTGTTCCCAGTTCCCAGTATAGAAGTGGTTTTGTTTAATTATATTTTTTTTTTTCAAACAATATTTTTAATTAAATTTATTAAAAAATTAATAAAAATAAAAACAGATAATAAATTTATAAATTTTTGTCATTCATTAAGTTATATAATCATCTAATATAATTTATAATTAATTTTTTTTTTTCATATTTTTATGTTCAAAATTAATGTTTTTAATTTTATTTTTTATATACTTGTTTATAGGATTTTTTTAATCTTATAAAGAAAATATATACAAATTTTACTTTTCTGTTAATGTTTTTCTAAAAATACGCGAAAGTTAAAATCAAACATAATAGTGTTAGGTGAATCTCTTAACTAATGGATTAATCTTTGTAAATAATAATGTATAATATTAATAATTTATTATTTAAAAATTATATGAGTTCGAATTTGAATTTTACTGAAAACGTATAAAATTTATTATTTTTTAAAGTGTATTATGAATTAATAATTATCGAATTGTATCACTTGATTTAGTAAGTTTAAAATTTAATTCATTAATGTATCGGTGAAACTTCCGGGATCTTCACGAGTTATTATAATTTTAATTAAAAAAAATATTTTATAGCAGCTAATTTGTTTTAATAAATTTTTTTTTCATGCTTTATTGATTTTTTTAAACAAAATTACAAATTTGCCCTTGGTTCCATAATTTAGCCATCAGCTTCCAATAAATAATCCTTTTTTTTTTAATAATAATATTCTGTTAATTTATTTTATATTTTCTTACTTTAATTTTATTTTTATTTGAATTCCAATCAACTTACTAACTTGTTCTATTTTTAGGTTTTTACTTTTTTTTAAAACCAATTTCTTTTCTCTTCTTATTATTTTTTTTATTTTATGTTTTCATATTTTTCTTACTATAATTATATATTATCAAATAATCACACTTTTTAATTCTTACCCAATACCTCAAATTTTTCAAAAAAAATCAATAAGATAAAAATTTAATTTTTCTTAACTAAAATTATAAGTTCTTGTTCATTTTTTTTTTTTGTAAAGTTCAAAACTTTACTTCCTAATTATTTATTTGCCGGCCATGGAGTATGCTTCTGCGGCTTCATTCATCGGAGGGTGGCGTTTACTGTCATCAATCCTCGAACAATTCATTACTCATCATTGATCTTCCACAGTGCTTTCCATGTCTCTACAGAATCAAGCCATGTCTACTCTTGCTTCCATCTTCTTCATTTTGATTCTCACACAGTCTCTGCTACTATTATCACCGTTAGCTTCGTCAAGCCCAGAAACTATTAAGGGCTTACTTACCCGCTTAGATTCTCAAAAGTCATCTGCTTCAGTTCAAGAATCAGCTGCTAGAGGTGTTCTAAAGAGATTGCTACCCACCCATTTGAATAGCTTTGAGATTAACATTGTTTCCAAGGTATATTACTTCTCTCATTTTATTCTGCTCTTTTATAATTCCCGGATATTTTTGTGGGTCTTGTTTTGTTTTCTCAAAACTTCGTTTGGTTGCTGAGAAAGAGTGAGTAACTGAGATGTTATACCCATTTACCGTGAAGGGAAAAGCTCGTTTCAAGCTGGAGCCGACCCTGAACTTTCTGATACTAATATCATAATTCAGATACTATCCTCATCAGCTTAAGCGTCTGTTGAACTAAATAAATTATTTTAAAAATCTGAATTGAAGAAGCATAGATAGTGGATAATTAAACTTTATTTTAACCAGAAATGTGGTTAGGGAATTGAGAAAATGAAATATCATTACCATTAATTTCTTGGTTGGTGCTTCTGTGTTTTTTTATCAGTAACTGCTTCAACAAATTTTTAGCATAAGAAAGGGGTGTTTCTAGCATAACAAAGGTGTATTGAAATGCATAGTAGTTCCTTTATTCGTTACCAGACAGTCTCTATAGTTGATTTGTAATCATTGGTACTAAATTTTTTCACTTATGATATCAGGATGTTTGTGGTGGACACAGTTGCTTTTTGATAGAAAATTACCACAGTTCAAGCCAGAGTGGACCTCAGATAATGTATGTGGAGTTTTATACATGATGAAAAAAGATATTAGAGTTCCTTACTTTTTCTTCTTCAGTTATGAAATTGATCGCAAATGTTGTGGGCATGTTCAATTACAGAAAAAGTTCCTGCTAGTTGAATTCTTCTTGAAGTTTCTATCATTTGCATAAGTAACAAAATGGTGAGAGTTTTGGGGAATTAATTTCCAGTAGATTTGTGAATTAATTTCCAGTAGATTTGTGAATTATTTTCAATATATTTGAAAATTGATTGCGGCAGATTTGTTGACAGATTTGTTGAGAGATTTTGGGAAATTACTGTATAGATTCTGTATATAGTTCTAGGCAATGATAAGCTATAATTAGTTGTTAGTTTCCAAGTTTTGTGTACAAGATTACCTATAAAATGAAATCAAGTAAAGTTTTTCAATTAAATCCAAAGTTACTGAATTCAACATAGTATCAGAAGTTCAATTACGTTAGAAAGGAAAACAGGAGAACTCTTAGCTTGCAGCAACCATAATCACAGAGACTGTAATACCCGGGCCCTGAATTTGGCCCCGGATTAATTTTAAAGTTTAAAAAAAATGTTTAAAAATATAATTTTTATATTTGTTTAATGTAAAATTAGGAAAAAAATAGATTGATAATGAAATTGAAAACAATTTTAGAAAAAATGGGTGAAAATTTAGGTTCGAAAAGTATTTTTGAAAGAAAAATCAGAAACTGGGGATCAAAATGCAATTAAAAAAAATTGTACCACGTAGGACTGCTCAGTCAGCAGCCCCGACGAACCGGAACACACTGCGTGGCAGATACACTGACTCGGTGCCACGCGGGAGGCCACGCTGGCAATCCGTGTGCCCGCGATCGGACGATCCGGATACGTTCCCACGCGCGTAGACGGCCGGATCCGTTCCCTCTTCAGCCGCGATCGGATGGTCACGATTAAGCGTGATGAACGGTACAGATTCGTTCCTTCTTTAAAAGCGATCGTATGGTCGAGATTAAATCGTAATGAACGGTTCAGATTCATTTACTCTTTAAACGCGATCGGACAGTCTATATCAAATACCATGAATGACCTACATTTAAAAGAGACGGATATAAATATATCGCATCACACCGAACCCAAACCCTAGCCGCTAGCCTCCCGCCGGAGAAGAAGAACCAGTTGCCGGAGAAGGGAGCCCACCGCCGCGCCAGAACCACCTATGACCGCTAAAAAAGGTAAAAAACCGCTCGAAATTTAATTCCGAACACCTATTCCGATGGTCAAATCGGAGGAAAAAGAATGGTGGATGAGCCGGAAACCGCGGGTAAAGCCCAGTGGCGCTGCTGCGGGCAAAACCCGAAATCGCCTCCGATGAGCTTCTTGTTTTCCGTTTCGTGCGATTTTTCTACCATTGTGTTCACCAGTCTGTTTTCTACAAGTTAACCGAAGAAAAACACCCAGTCGCGAAAGTGAGCTGGCGGAGCCGCCGTATCAGAAAATTCCGCCGCCGGTAAGTTTTTGTTTTTTGACTTTTTGGGTCAACCGAAACCCATTAACGTGTCTTCTCGCAGGGATGAATATAAAACCGGCCGAAACCGGCCAAAACTGGCCGAAAACAGTCAGACCGAGGTAAACCGCCGCTACGGGCGGCAGTGTCGTCGTTGTCGGAGCACAGCGGTGCCGTCGTGCCAGAATTCTAAAATTAGTTAGAAAAGATTTTTAACATCAATTTTGAATTTTTTGGAGTATTTTTAGGTACGTGAAACGTGTTTTAATCTTCAAAGAAATATTAAGGAAACCTGAAGACCACTAGTAAACACAGCTGAAAGTTCGGTGTTTCGAACACCGATTCGAGTAAAAATCCCTCACCTTATTCTCTGTTATGGAATTGAAGCTTAATAATGGTAATATGGTATTTTGTGTAATTTAGAAAACTTTGAGAATACTTACAAGTTATCAATGGAGTCGGAAACCGGTTGGTTATTTATTTGTTGTCTTGTTTAATTAGTGGTTGAATTTACAGTTTTAAATATATGATGATATTCTGGAATGGTTAATTGATTCAATTGTGCTTTCTTGATATATATATATATTATTTGTCTTGCGTGATTACGATTGATTGTGACATTAGTAATTAATATGTAAACGGAAAATTGATTGATCATGTGAAGTAATGAATGGTAGTCTTACTGGATATTTTAGGAGATAGTGGACGAACCAGATACATAGGGAACCCTACTGTGAACGTTGTTTCATATCGGACGGGTATCGAGAATCGGTATTTTTGGCGCTCATACCGGACGGGATGTGGGGACAATCCGATTTATCCTCATACTGGACGGGGTATTGAGGGATGGTATTTTTGGCGCTCATATCGAACGGGGTATGGGGACAGCCAGTTAGTAGATAATGTTGAATATTGGTTCATGCATAGTGGGACATCTCTATGAGTCCCAGGGATACTAGTAGGCAAATAAAAATGGAAATTTATTGTTCTTACTCATTTGAATATGATATTGAAATGTTATTTGGGTTATTGTCTCTATAGGTCGATTTTGGAAATCTCGCAACAGTAAATACATGCAATAAATAGTATTTTTTATGATAAATAAATTTACTTAAATCAAGAGATCTATTGTTTATTTTTATGATTTTTATGATTTTTATCAACTTTCAGTTTATGTATCGGTGAGTAGTGTAATATTCTTATTGGGTTAGTGTAACTCACCATGTCATTAACTATTTCATATCAAGAGAACTAACACCCAGATCCCGATCAACAAAAGAGTTGTGAATAGTTCGCCACCCAGACTCATTCAAAAGCTAGTGAAGTTCGTTTTAAGATGCTCAATTGTTTACTTTCGTTTATTTGTTTGATTTTCGTTTGTTCTTTTAAAAGGAATATTCCCGTATCCTTATTGAGTATTATAAACTATTGTGTAATAAATGTAAACTCTAAAATTTATTATTTCACTTTCGCATTTAATTCATAACTTTATTTTCTTTTAAATTCTGAACTGTTACAGAAACACATAAAAGAAAAAAAAAACACAAAATTATGTCTGACATTACGTTTGAGTTCACACCTATTGGGACGTCCTCCATGATTAATGAACCTAAGACCAACCAGTTCTTGTAATTCCTATTCAATCCAGATCATGAAAATCTGGCTAAATGGAGACAACTTTCTGGGTTGGTCACAATTGAACAAGTATCCAAAAGGTTGAAGGTGACACTAATAGTACAGAAATTATAATGTTAGTGATACATATCAATTACAGTACAGATGAAAATTTTATCTCCTTACCCTCCACAAGCTGTGCGAGTTATCACATAGAGATTGGATCTCAAATGATTGAACCTTGTTGAGGAAAGACCTTTGGTGAAAATGACAGCTGACTTGTACTTTTTCTCGAACAAAATGAATGTTCAATATGCTTAGAATGGACATGATTGACTGGATTAAAGGTTATATAACTAGTGCTGATGGTATCACAAAACAAAATAGGAAACTTGGACGAAGCTAAATGAGGCACCTGCAGGATTTTCTATAAACCAAGATATATCATAAACTACCATAGAGATAATATGATATTCTACCTCAGCATTAGAGACGAAAAATTCTAACATACTTTTTGGAACATCAAAATATCAGATTGGTATTAAAAAATGCAATAACCCATGGTAGATCAATAGGAATCATGACGTCCCTGCCAATCTACATTCCAGGATTCTACAAAACACATAGGGGACTTAAAAATAAAGTTGAAGATCATACTGAATAATACGCTATATATGGTGTAATATAGATTTTACAGCTTGAAAGTGATTATCACAAGGCTCGTGCATATATTGGCAAACTTGATTGATAGCAAAAGCAATCTCAGGGTGTGTTAGGGTAAGATATTGTAAGGCTCCAACAATACTACGAGATGAAATAACTAAGTGTATAGTACTATATCCTTTACCAGTCTGACCATAGGACTGAACATAGTGCTTACGGGTTTACAATTCTCTATACCATGTTGATGCAATAAATCCATAGCATACTTGCTTTGGTCAATAAAAAATCGCTTCTTACTGTGAGAGACTTGAATATCAAAAGATAATGGAAGGTACCTAAATCGGTCACTAAAAATCCCTTTATAGGAAGAGAGTTTAGCAAGTTGTTGTCGAAACCTTTGAGCAACTAATCAGGCTTTAGAATGTTCCAAGGAATCATTGACTTCCTGTTTGACCTTATAGACCCAATGAAATTCACCAATATTAACACCAGGTGGTGGAGGTACAAGTTGCCACGTATTATTAGAAAGAAGAGCATCAATTCGGCTGCCATGACTTGTGTCTGTTGAGTGAAATTTGACAACTTGTGAATGGGATTTAAGTTCTCTACATAAATAAAGAAGCGATAGCAGTGGTAAGAAACTATCATTGATGTAGGCTTAAGATGACCTGTGCAGCTTCTTGTTAATATTGGATGAGAATGAGGAATAGAAAGACTTGAAGAAGTAAGCCCTAAAGCATTAGAGGTTACAACAACATTCGTGGCGGGTGATGTTTGAATGACAGTTTTCATCTTCCTGTAGAAGCATGTAATAAGAGGTTCTGATTTAGAGACGTCAATTGTGATGCTGGACAAGTTTTTGATGACTAGAGATGGCATACAACCTTAGGAGTAGAAGAGACCATGGGATTGAGAGGTGAGTCAAGGACAGTAGTTGATGATGAGGGTGAGAGAGCAATTAGTAGAAATATTGCTCACAAAGTACAACATTGTCAAAAATGATAACCTTTTGAGTCTCACCATTAAAGCGACAATAACTTTTGTAGATGTTTAAGGATCTAACAGAAACCCATTTTGTGGATCAAGGACCCAATTAATCAGTAGTATGAGAAAATAAGTTTGAGTAGCACGTGCAACCAAATACTTGCAAATGATCCTATGTAGACTACTTGTGATATAGAAGTTTAGACAGTTAAATTCTGAATAGAAGAGGAAGGCAACTTGTCACTAAGATAGACAACAGTCTTAGAAGCTTCTATCCATAAAATGGGTGGCAAAGGGGCTTGAAAAGGTAGTGTGCCGACTGTATTGGCAACAGTTTTGTGCGTACCTTCAGCCCTACAATTCTATGTGGAGTACAAGGAAATGATAGTCTGATATATATGCCACTGTTTGAGCAAAAGTCTCAAGTTAACACTAAATGATAGTCTGATATATATGCCACTATTTTGAGCAAAAGTCTCAAATTTAATGTTAAACAAATTTATCATTACCATCACAATGGTATTGTTTAATTTTGCACTAAGTGTGTACATAATTATAAAAGCTGACAAAAATATTGTAGTCTTGGGATTTTCCTTGTATGGGAAATACCCATATGAATTGAGAGTACCATACCAGAACATAATATCAACAGCTGGAAAATGAAAGAGTAGGAAAGGTCCAAACATCTAAATGTATTATTGAAAATAATTTATTAACATAAAAATACTAATTGACTTGTAAGTAATTTTATACATGGGTGACACCCCGTTGGTACTTATGAATTAATGAATGGTAGCTTATGTTTTCTCTTTTTGGTTTTTTCATTTTTGGATGGTAGCTTATCCTCCTGTAGGTTGTGATTACTCTTTAATTTTATAATATAATTCTTTCAAAAAAAATTTTATAATATAATTCTTTTTTCTTCTATATCAAAAAAATCATATATAACAGTACTACTAACTTAATCCATCTACTAACGTCTATCTCAAAAAAAATAAGTACTACTTAATCCAACTAACTTCTATCTAGCCCTTTTTTAATACATCTACTAACTTTTATCTCAAAAAAAAAAAAAACAGTACTACTTAATCCAACTTCCAATTTTAATGGAACAACTAAAATCTGCCTGTGGCATTGTTTCACATATCTATAACAATCTTCCTTCTAGAATATCATTTAGTTTCTTCAAGCTCATAATCTTACCATCTCCATGACACTGATGGTGGCTTGTGGTAGATATTTTGGTTCTTTACCTTTAAATTTCTAATGACTGTGCTTCTTTCAAGGTACCTATAAATCTGCATGCAATATACTCCATATCTTTTTTAACAGAAATCAAAGGTTCTCATTTTCTTTTATCATTGAAGGAAAGGAAAACAAGTTACATGCATGCTTTGTTAGTAAATTTTAACAGTGAATTTGGCAAATTCTTTCAGGATAAAAGGCACCACAGCAGTTGAAATTGCTTCTGGTCTTCACTGGTATTTGAAGTATTGGTGTGGTGCTCATGTTTCTTGGGACAAGACTGGTGGCGCTCAGATTGATTCTGTTCCCAAGCCAGGATCCATACCTTTCGTAAAAGATGAAGGCTTCATAATTCAACGACCAGTACCTTGGAATTATTACCAAAATGTTGTTACATCTAGTTGTAAGTACCGGATATTTGCTAATTTCTAGCAGTGGGGATTGGATTTTAGCAGTTGGTTCATCTAGCTTAGTAAGAGAATACTCCAATTTTTATTATATTGTACATTGTGGAGAAATTATAAATAGATATTTACAGAGATCCTTCTGTGGATTATATAGGAAACCAGCTTAGATAGGAAAATACTAGATGGAAAAGTACTCAGGTGAAAATTCTCTCTTCTATCACTGCTCAAGCTGGAGCATGCACGTGCTCTGCTTTTTAGAAATAAAACGACTAAAGATTTTCTGGACATATTAACTAGTTAGGTTGCAGACTTGACGAGTATTCCTAACCAATTGTAAGGGAGCTTTTCTTGAATAAAATTAAAGCCAATGTTAATATGTCTAGTTGATGCCGAATAGAAAACTCCTAAAATCAACATATTCCAACAATAGGAAATATGAAGCATTATCAACAAATGAGCATAAACATTTTGGAAAATTAACTAAAAGAAATATGAAGATTTAATCTCATTTTTTAAGTTAAAGTAAAAAGAATAGGAATATTTAGTTTCTTTTTCCAAGTTTTAGAAAGTTTCATAAAAAAGGAAAATAGAATGATTTGTTTTCCTATTTCTTAGATTTCTTATTTCTTTTGTCCTTTCTATTTAACTTATTTTCTTATTTACTAGGTTTTTTAGGTTTCTTATTTTTGGTTTATTTAGTGTCTATAAATAAGGTACTTAGTTTTGTTATTAGATAGATTATTTATAGTTATTAGTCAAGGGTTGAGATATTGCTTTGGTTATTTGAGATCCGAGATCTCCAAGTTTGGTTCTTAATAAAATTTAATTGAGTTTTGTATTCAACATCTCTTTGTCCTACGTCACTAGTCATCTCATGAAAAATTGGGTCCAGCACATTGTAAATTATTGTTTGGCTATTACATAATAACTCCATGTGTTGCTACTTTGGACAAGTGCTTTTGTGGAGCATAAGCCATAACTCAGTATTTTGACTTAACTCTAGATCTGGCAAATACAGTGCTTCTTGCTCTTCAAGACGCTATATTATGGCTCCTAAGAATACAGTTACCTGTATAGATCTCGGATTAAAGTGAAACCTGCTCATAAGAATAGAGTAACCTGTATATACCCCCAAAACAAGGTGTGCCCATTGCTTTTGTAGACTAATCTTCAACTTTGTGCACATTTGAGAAACCTTAAGATGTGCACAATTGCCTCCTGACGACTCTAGTCCGTGAAGAACATTCAACATCATAGCAAATGAACGTCTAGTCGAATCAATTAATGTAATTTAGAGTTGCAAATAGTTTTTTAGTGGTTGCCCGGATGCTCTTAAGATGGTGATGAGTAAGATGTTGAGTGATACATTCTTGCTACCTTTCACATAGTGTCTGTGAAATTAAGTTTTCTATGTAATGTCTCATCTTTTTGGTAGATTCATATGTTTGGTGGGATTGGCAAAGATGGGAGAAAGAGATAGACTGGATGGCTCTTCAAGGAATTAACCTGCCTCTGGCATTCACTGGGCAAGAAGCCATCTGGCAGAAGGTTTTCAAGGTGAACATATTATTATCTTCATTACTTTCTTGCATATTTTAAATCGACTGTGCTACCTTGCTGTTGCTTGAATCTTTTGTTAGAATGTCCTGATAAGTGAACAATTGCAAACATAAGATTCTAATTTATGTAAAACTGGATATACACTCATTTAGTATAGCAAAAAAGTTCCAAACATCTAAAGACTGCATCTGGAATGATGCAAAAACCATTCACTTTGGTTTCAGTTCCCAAATGGGATGATGCTTGGGTGTGAAACCATGTAACAAGAGAATAATAAATGGGATATCAGACCAGGGATATGAGCAATTTAAATTTTAAAACTACAGATTTAGAGGTGGGATTTTGTCTGCTTTCTTGAGCTTCTAAGACAGAGCTTCGACGTCCGAATTGTAAAGTGATCAATTGTCAAGTTTAGGTGCACCTAAGTTTGTTCAGTTGTTGGTTTCAGGTTGAAATGAGTGGTTCCACATATGCATAGCTTAATTTCTTCTCCTGGTTTATGTCATTGAACTTTAGGGATTCAATATTAGCAAGGAAGACTTACATGATTTTTTTGGTGGACCTGCTTTCCTTGCTTGGGCTCGCATGGGAAATTTACATCGGTAAGTGAGGTAATTTGCATTACTATAGCACATACTTTTTAAATATATATATGCTGTAAAATGGAAGAGGTTGGATTTAGACGATGTTAGTCTCAGACTTCTGATTTTTGTTGGTAAAGAGGAAAATTGTAGGTAAAGATGAAAAAGAATATGGAGTTAGTGAAGTATGGAAGATTTGCAAAATGGTCGGGATGCAGAATAAGATGATCATAATTTAGAGTAATTTAGTATTAAATTTTCTTTTGGTAATTGTTATTATTGTTCAGTATCTTTAGCTTATCTGGGCTATTCAGACGGACTTCTAAGTTGTAGATGCTTAGGTTATTAGGCAGATTTTAAGTTATAAGAAGCTGTTAGTTTTTTCCTTCATCATTTTAATGTTTTCCTTATTATTTTTAACTAATACGTAGATGAAGGACTGTAACTATCAAGAATAAAATGATAAACGATGATGGATTAAGAATTTCTCTTGTTAAATTTTCACAGAAAAAGACTGACATGCTGGAATGTCTAATATAAAAAGATCTCCCGTTCTTGTCAAGATAAATAACACCAAAATTGCCTCATGTAATTCTTTTGGCTTATGTGTATGGAAGAAGTACCAGAGCTTTTGAAAGGGGGTAGAGAGTGTGTTTCATTCCATTATGAACGGGTGATCACATACTCTTCTTTTGGTTTGATAAACAGCAAATATAGATGATAAGAAAGTTATTGAGTTTGTAGAATCTCCTTTTGACAAGTACCTCCATAATATGGCAAGAATGGAAATATAAATATGACTGATCAATCAACTTATTGTTTTGTCCTCTAAGAAAAAATCAACTTAACAAGAAAAAGGGCAGAATTTCATTTCTAGCTCATGTTGCTTTGAATTTTATGGCTGTGTCTATATACAATGTTTTAAAATGTTTTGCCAAGAACTGTGCTATTAGATTTTTACCCATGCAGAATAATGATTTTGTTGGCTGTTGTCGTTGCCATTTGCTTTTGCTTTACCAAGATATTTTTGTTTTCTCATAGGTGGGGTGGGCCCCTATCACAAAATTGGTTGGATCAGCAATTGCTTTTGCAGAAGAAGATTCTATCTCGGATGCTAGAGTTGGGCATGACACCAGGTACAGGAAATTACCTTACATTTCCCCCCGTTAATTGGCTCTTGAGCGCCACATTCTTTGGGATTTAAGTAGATTTACATTTCTCTTCTCCTCAATTTTTAGATTAAAAACTACGGTTCAAAGTGGTGGAATTCTCTCCTAAATTTCTAGCTAAATTTGATGATGATGAAACTGAAAAGTTTATCGTCTTTTGTTTTTTTCCAGTGCTTCCGTCGTTCTCTGGAAATGTTCCAGCAGCTTTAAGGAATACATTTCCTTCAGCAAAGATAACTAGACTTGGGGAATGGTATTTCACTTTACACGTGAATGTGAAATGTCATACACAGTCGTGTCATTGCATATGAACTCAAATGTTTTATTTCTTGTAATGTCAGTCAGGCTAAAATTTCTATTATTGTATCATGTGCATTAGGAAAAATATTAGTTGGATACTCGCTATTCTTCAGCTGGCTTAGAGTTCTATCTTGAAGTTTGAAAAGCTTTATAAGTTGAAGCATTCTTCTCACTGTTCCTTAATAGGAATACTGTGGATGGAGATCCTCGGTGGTGTTGTACTTACCTTCTTGATCCATCTGACCCTTTATTTGTTGAGATTGGGGAGGCTTTTATCAGGCAGCAAATAGAAGGTCTGTATTATATCTTAATTGCATATTGCCTGCAATCAACGAACCTCTTTTCAGTTGTGATGGAAATGAACTTTGCGCTTCTTGAGAAAGTAAAAGTTTTTGTAGTTGGGAAGGGGGACGTAGATGAAGTAAATGAAAAAAAAAAATTGAGTCATAAGGTGTGTTTGTGTGTATGTGTGAAACAACATATTGCACAGTTGAAAGACAAGGATCTTACAGGGAAAAAAATTTAGGAACAAATAATATTTCATTAGTGATGTAGAAAACAATAGAAAGTTATTATTACCTCTAAAATCATTCCCTTGTTACCGAGAATAATTTATTACCTCTAAGATCACTCACTCATTACCGAGAATAACTTCTAGGATTTTAGTACGAGAGGGATCGAACAATGTGTTAAAGAGTTTATGATCAGTAATTAGGTTAAAGGGTTTTAGGATAAAAGAAAACCCTAATTAATTGTCTATTTCCTTTTTTATTATAGAAACCTGCGTAATAGGGTCATGAAATCCAATAAAACACTCATTTAGTCATTCTTCACATGGTATTAGAATTCTAGGAAAAAAAACGTAATCCTCTTTTACAAATCTTAATCAACCTTCATTACCAAAATAAGTAAAAATCCCTAGAGGGCCAGCTTTTCATTGTCGACCACCACAACCTCAACTTCTGACCACCATAGACCTGTCACCAGCCACCAAGACTGGGCTCCAGCAACGCCACCACATCTCCTCCATGCTGCCATACTTGCTCTGCATGCAGCTATCCATGGCCATCATTTCCTGTAGCACACACCCTCGTTGCTGTCTCCCTGCAGCTATGTCCACAACCGCATGATTAATTGCTTAGCAAATATAAGTTGCATATTAAATTTGCTCTTGCTATGTCATTTAAAAATGCACAACCAGGATGCTTTATGTGCTTATATATGAATATGATATCTTGTTTTCCTGCCTATTGACCATTGCTATGATGTTGTATATATTTCAGAATATGGAGATGTTACTGACATATACAACTGGTAATTTTCTTTATTGACATGTGCATCTCTTCAATTCACCTCTGGAGTATCTAATTAGCGCCCGTCTCATATGACAGGCTTGTGCACTTAAAATTCTCTTATTAAGTGACCTATGTCATTTGTTGTGTCTATAGCTTATAGTATAATAGATAGATATTGTTTACTTAAAAAAAATAATAGATAGATATGGTCAACAATCTTCGGATGATAAAGGTAATGGGAAAACATTTAGTATTGGCTTAGCTTGTTTAGGTCAGAAGTTACTTGTAGCTAACATCTAAGAACTACAATATGCCTGCAAATTTCATTCCGATGGTCATCCTGTGTCAAAGCTTGGCCACTTATTCACATGGTCTTTTGAAGATGATAATGATAAGTACACTTTCGTTAGAGATACAGCTCATCTACTCTTTGAACCCAGAAGGGAGACACCCATTTGAAATTGATTATTAAGTGGAAACTTAACTTGCTATTTCATTTCTTTTACAGAATCTACTGTCGAGGTGTATGAAGTAAGAGTCAAATTTTTGAGAGTGGTTTTGCCCTGAGTTTTACTTTATAACAATTCATCTTAAAGTGAAAAAATAAATCCATCCCATAATCTGATATTTAATAATCAAAGGTATATATACAAGTCAATCTTTAGGTAGAATTAGTAGGATAAGAATGATATCTGTGTTACCCGAACTTAGAGTATATATCTTATTACCCCCCGCCCCACCCGCCCCCCACCCCCAATCAGAGCCTAAGGACACACACAAATTGGCTCGTAAAAATTGAATCATCTAGATGTCAAACCCTATGAAGACATCTACTAACTGACTTTTTTTGGAATGTACAAACATGTAGTTTGGAAAGAACCTCCTCTTGAACAAAATGGATATCCAGGGGAAGGAATAAATGATCAAGAATTTATATAGTGCACAATTATAGGGTTTTTTATCACATTAATTTATATTTAAAAAGTTAACTATATAGCATATTATCACATTACTTTAAAGAATAATATTATTGAAATTGTAAGCAGAACCACCTTTTGCAATTACTTGGTAATTTTTTGCCTCCTCTTTCAACATGTTCACTAACTTCTCGGTAGTGCCTAGTATGAATTAAATATATTTCAATTGGGAAAATGCAGTGATACATTCAATGAAAACAAACCACCTACAAATGATCCAGCATATATTTCATCACTTGGAGCTGCTGTATATAAAGCAATGTCCAAAGGTGATAAAGATGCTGTATGGTTAATGCAGGTATACTTTCTGATTCTCCAAATCCTCTTTATATATTTCCTTTTGTTTCTCTTCCGAATTCTCTTTCGTTTGAAAGAGGGTTGATATCTCCTGGGATCAGATTGATGATTTAATAATATTTATTTTTCATATTCAGTTCTTACTTAATGTATATACTCGAGAAGTCCTTGGACCAATCTCAGTTCCAGCACTGCAGGAAATTTGAAATGCTGGAAATGCCAATACAAAGAAAGATGTGCCCAACCTCCTCCCCCCTCCCAAACCCCAACTATCTTTGTAGTTTATACAACTGTATGTGTCAATCATTAGTAGTTGTACCATTTTAGTAGTGAAATATATATAAAAAAAATTGAAACAGAAAATGGCATTAAGGAGCAAACTACAGAAACCACTTTGAGTTTCCTTTTGTCCATTTAGAGCTTCTGGGGGATGAATGAGTTCATATGGGGAGTGACGAAGTTTGATCAAATCTGAAACCATAGGCTGCGTTGATGGAGGTTAAGGAACCATTTAATTTTTCTGAAGTAGGAACGTGTGCTTCTCTTTATGTTGATCAATCATCCATTGTCAATGTAGGGCTTTTGCGAATTAAGTTATTAGTTTTCCCGAAAGAGTTTATAGGGGCAGGTGAAACTTTAATTTTTACCTGGTAAGTATCCAGAATGTCTTTAAGAAATGAGGGATCATTGTAAAAATTTGTTGCATCATCAGATATTTTTTCTTGGTGAATGCCAACTTTTGGCATATAGGGTAACAGATGATTCTTGTTTGACATGTTTAGGTAATAAGTGCTGATGACCAGTATTCTTGGAAATAGTCTAGTATGTCAAAGCAACTGGTGTTGCTTTGATGGACACATTATTTTATGTCTTCATGACATACCTAACTTTCTTGGTAAATCTGCATAGCACAATCATTTAAATTCTTTTGGAGATACTCAACGAAGATCAAATATATTTATCCGAAGATTAAATTATGATGCATGTTCTTTCTGTATCCAAATTTTATACTTTCTATGTTCTTGATACCTTAAACCTTTATTAAGTTTGATTAAAGAAAAGAACCTTTGCTAGGTCTTTTGTTTTGTGGATATCATTGAATACTGAACAGCCAAAATTTCATTGTCATAAACTTTTCAGTTGTAGGTTCGCTCTACAAAATATGATTCCTGTCCATTTTCTGTCTGCTGGTATATAGAGCTATTCCTATTTGACTGTTCTATTAACTTGCAGGGGTGGCTCTTCTACTCAGACTCTGAATTCTGGAAGCCAAGTCAAATGAAAGTATGCCCTTTGATCAAATGAAGTTAGACACTTGGTTACTACCTTCTTCCATTATGTTAAGTATAAACATATACCAAACAGTTCTGAGGGTTAAAAAATTTTCTATTTTGAGAGAAGAGAAACAAAATTATTTTATGTTATTATTTAGGTTACGGACAACTACCCTTAATTTCTGAGTCATTCAGGATTGGAGTAGTAGATTGTTTGGCAATAACGTAAAAATTATTTGTTTCTAAACCAGTATTGTCATGTTTCCGAAGTCCAAATTACAAAAAGATTCAAATGGCAAATTACATCATCTTGGCCGCTGACAAACTTAAAAAAACGACTGGTTTCTGCTAAAGATTGTGTTTCCTTCCTCTTTTGATAAGAAAAGTATTATATATTAGTGCAGAGTGATGGATGTTGTTATGACAGACTACAGGTGCCTCCATCTCTGTACGGATAACTCAAGCTTTCTTGAAACTTAAAAGTTTCCAAAGCCTCCTTTTTGAAAAACAAATAATAAGAAAATTGTGTTTTCTGTCTCTGTCTCTTGCTCTCTTGTTGTGAGCATGTATGTGCCTGAAGTTTTAGTGCTTATTGCATTTGCAATTTAACATTATTGGTTGTTGCAAAATTATTCTTTCGAACAATGGCCTCACTTGTTTCTTGGCTTCTTATGAAATATGAGATATGTAAGGTAGTTCAAGTAGCCCAAATCCCTACTTTCTTTTATTTATTTATTGAGATGAATTTTCTACTTTGAAACTCAGAGGGAAAGGATGATGAACTAAATCTGTTGAGCAATGTAGTGAAAGGCTATTGGTTGATTAGGTGGAATTTTTTGGAAAGAAACTGACATTTTGTTAAAGAGAAATGGCATTTTGAGAAAATATTTTCATGACTTTATGGAACATTGTTATCATTTGCATTTGGGATGAATGAGTTCATAATCATGATTCTCCTCAGATATTTGCAAAATTATATAGCTAGAAGTTTCTGTAAAACTCATCCATATCTATAACCAGAAAATGCAAATTCTAGCATCAGCCATGGTTAAATTATTAATATATTTTACTATCTTCTGATGCTGTCTGCTTATTTTCATAAATAGTGACAGTTGATATTAAAGCTGGTGATATCTACAGGCACTTCTGCATTCTGTTCCATATGGGAAATTGGTAGTTCTTGATCTATTTGCTGACGTCAAACCATTATGGAAAATTTCCTCTCAGTTTTATGGTACTCCTTATATCTGGTATTAGTTTATTGCATTCTGCAATACCTCAAATATGTTTCTAGACAATATTTATATTCTTTCTTCCGGTTCTGTCTTCTTGAAGATTAATTTCTGTATTAATCGTTAACACGATAGTGCTCATCAGTATTGGTTGTAAATCAGGTGTCTGCTACATAATTTTGGAGGAAATATTGAAATGTATGGCCTATTGGATTCAGTTTCCTCAGGTCCAGTTGATTCACGCATCAGTAAAAATTCAACTATGGTAAGATCAGGATTTTATATATTGATATGCTATGCAGATGGACACACATGCATCCTAAACTCTTGGAACAGTTTTATATCTGTGGGTGTATATATGTATCCTCTACCTGCTAATCTTGCACCTGCAGGAAAAGGTGCATACAGCTCCACCATGATGTTGTGCAATCCCCATATCAAAACAAGTAGTACATATACTTTTGGAACAGTTGTCTTCTGACACCTAATGTTTTCCTTTCACGGTATACTTAATTACTTATAATCTGACTGAAGTGAAACAATTAAATGATTAATGTAGGTGGGTGTTGGCATGTGCATGGAAGGAATAGAGCAAAATCCAGTTGTATATGAGTTAATGTCTGAAATGGCATTTCGAAGTGAACAAGTGCAAGTTGTGGTAAATTCAATATTGTAACTGCATCTCAATGCTTTTTGTTGTTTTCCTGTTGTTTATATTGATTGGCATTTTCCTTTTTCCAGTTAGGATAGATGTTTATTTTGGCTCTATTTAACAAGTTCTTGTAAAGTGACTCCATCAAGGCTTGTATGATTCTGATTTAACTGTAGCTCCATTGCTACTGGGCACCAAATGACATCTGCTTTTACAAAATTTTCATTCAGAAAAAATATTTATTGCAGTCTGCATGCTCCGTAAGTGTTGTTTTCAGGAGGTAGTTAACGCTGGTGATTCCTAACTAATTGTCTATATTTCTTTGTCATCATTGAATGTTCTTGTCTTGGGAATGGATCATGTGGATTAAATCTTGAAGCAGATGTTATAGTTCCAGTTTCCGAAGTAAAGCAAATTGCCTAGGTTCAGCAGAGTAGGAATTTTTTTTATTAATAGATGGTAAAGTAGGCTTCTGTTGAGGGTCTCTAAGTTTTGTTGAAATATTTAAAACAAGATTGACAATGATCTGAACAATTTTGTAGGAATGGCTGAAGGCTTATGCACAGAGACGGTATGGTAAAGCCGTGGATCAACTTCAAGCAGCATGGGAAGTTCTTTATCACACAGTTTACAATTGTACAGATGGAATTGCTGTATGTTTCTCTAAAATTATTGAGCTGCAAAGTCTTCATCTTATACCCTTTACAATTGTACAGATGGATTTGCTAGATGATTGTCAATCTTAATATAGGTTCTTTGAAAAAGTGTAAAGAGTTGGTAGTGGAAAATGCTAATCTTCTTATTTGAAAAAAAAAAAAAAAAGATATCCCATGCGGCTGCAATAGGCTCCATGCTGAAGTGATGTATGTTGATAATTTGTTGAATTGCATTGTCACAGTAAATCTTTGGCTAACTGCTTATAAGTCTTTGTAATTTTGCAGGACCATAACAAAGATTTCATAGTTCAGTTTCCAGATTGGGATCCATCACTAGGATCCTGGTCAGACAACTCAAAACAATCCCAGATGCATAAGCTCCCCACACTCTCTGGAACTAGAAGGTTTATGTTCCAACAAACCGACCCTAATTTACCTCAGGCACATTTATGGTATTCTACTGAAAAAGTGATCAAAGCTTTGAAACTGTTTCTTGATGCTGGAAATGATCTTGCGGGGAGTCTTACATATAGGTATATATGATGTCAAAACTAATATACAACTTATATTTTTTCTTCTAGGATCTAGGACTATAAGGTTTTCTGATAAATTGAAACATTTTAGTTTTCATTTCCTAAACTTTGATATCTTGTTCATGTGTCTATTTATGAAAACATGCATTGTGGTATGTAATTGTGGAGTAATCAAATATGAATAAAAACAGTTTTTTCAGGAAACACTAAATGAACCTTTTTGTTATTTTCAAACTTCATCTTCTTTTTTTATGTATTTTTTAA